CTAACCTAACCTAACCTAAATTAACCTAACCTAACCTAACCTGAACACTGAGCGACTGCCTCCAGCTTTGGCAATGGTTTATTCAATGGCCAGACAGACTCGTTTGTTTCAAAATCCTGCTTCCCTGTGGAAATTGGACGCTCAAGGAGTTTACCGCCGCTAACGAGATTTCCTGGTAAATCAGGTGGAGACAATCCCAACACAAACTGAAACATGAAATTAAATTATATGTTTGGCGTCTGTCCTGGTGAAAACAGACCATCAGACACTAAGCACTAGTACCTTCATCTCCCCATACCGGATGCTGTGAAGTACACCAGAACTGTCATTAACAGCTGTGCTTTTAAATCTGCATAATTTATTCATTTCAAATTAGTCTCACTGTAGCCACTGCTAGGGAGAGATTGTAATAACACGAAATGAACATGTAGTACACGTGAAATAAAGTAAACGAATGTAGTCATCCACTTTCGTATTTATGATGGAAAATGAAGGAATTAGGAAAGACTCCCTTGTCTGTACGAGGTGGTTTGAACCATCAGTGGGAATAAGAATTCATGAAACAGCTTCTGAAGTGACGTGGTATATAATGCATCGTGTTGCACCGAGTATAGGATCATGAAAATGATCTCTACATGTCATCATCTGTAGAACCATCTTGCAGACAGCATTGCGTTCTGAGACAAAAGTTTCTGGCATGACTGAATTTACAAATGTCACTATAAAGATGTTCTCTGTACTGATATTTCTTTTAAAAAAAGGCAAAACGCTGAATACCATTGCCATGGAGGCATTTTCAGGTGAAATTTGGTTTATTCTACGGTGTCTCACACCTGTACTACGTACTTTGCTGCAGATTATTTCTGAACCCAGGTTTATGTTCGTCTGACAGTTTTAAAATATGGTGCCCTCTCAATGTAGAAAAGTGTCCCGTGGTTAAAGCTTTTTTTAGACATATTATCATTAAAATTTTCTAGCCATTTTGCAAAACAAATCGATGTAAAGCAATTAGCTTGTATCGTGCGTGATTAGGGGATTTGAACCTCTGAAGATCTCTGTCTTCTGGGTCGTTGCGCTGTGTAGTCTGGTCGATGTTTACCAACGTTTCAGAGGTCTTACTGCCTCCGTCATCAGAGTATGAAGATTTCTGTCTTCTGGGTTGTTGCGCTGTGTAGTCTGGTCGATGTTTACCAACGTTTCAGAGGTCATACTGCCTCGATCATCAGAGTATGAAGATTTCCGTCTTCTGGGTTGTTGCGCTGTGTAGTCTGGTCGATGTTTACCGACGTTTCGGAGGTCATACTGCCTCGATCATCAGAGTATGAAGATTTCCGTCTTCTGGGTTGTTGCGCTGTGTAGTCTGGTCGATGTTTACCGACGTTTCGGAGGTCATACTGCCTCGATCATCAGAGTATGAAGATTTCCGTCTTCTGGGTTGTTGCGCTGTGTAGTCTGGTCGATGTTTACCGACGTTTCGGAGGTCATACTGCCTCGATCATCAGAGTATGAAGATTTCCGTCTTCTGGGTTGTTGCGCTGTGTAGTCTGGTCGATGTTTACCGACGTTTCGGAGGTCATACTGCCTCGATCATCAGAGTATGAAGATTTCCGTCTTCTGGGTTGTTGCGCTGTGTAGTCTGGTCGATGTTTACCGACGTTTCGGAGGTCATACTGCCTCGATCATCAGAGTATGAAGATTTCCGTCTTCTGGGTTGTTGCGCTGTGTAGTCTGGTCGATGTTTACCGACGTTTCGGAGGTCATACTGCCTCGATCATCAGAGTATGAAGATTTCCGTCTTCTGGGTTGTTGCGCTGTGTAGTCTGGTCGATGTTTACCGACGTTTCGGAGGTCATACTGCCTCGATCATCAGAGTATGAAGATTTCCGTCTTCTGGGTTGTTGCGCTGTGTAGTCTGGTCGATGTTCACCGACGTTTCGGAGGTCACACTGCCTCCGTCATCAGGGCGATAGATCGTTGGTAAACATCGACCATTCTACACAGCGCAACGACCCAGAAGACAGAAATCTTCAGTCTTACAATCAATCAAGAGTGAAATAAGCAGTTTCAAATATGTTTCACTCAGTTCCTGTTATCTGTACTTGGCTATGACTTATTTGAACCAAGTTTTCAGATTTTATGTTTTAATCTCTTATGTATGGAAAACTATTATTATTTAAAATAGTGGAAGTTTTATGCAATTTAATATACTGATAGGCCCCATTTTTCATCTGCACAAATTAAAATAAGCGTAATTTCAGAATGTGGCTGGTACCTTGTAGAACAGTGCCTCAGCCAGGCCTTTTCTGTACGCAGGCGATGCATCTGGCAGAACGTGGTCTGGATAAAGCTCTCGGTCCAGTATCTTGAGTGCAGTTCTCAGAACTTTGCGGTCGAACAAATTCTTACCATTCACGTAGGACTCTGTATTTGAAGCATGGATCTGTAAATGAGGAGTGAAAGAACAATGTTCAGCACATAGTGAGGGTGTCTGAATTCTATACCCAAATTTTTGTCGGTTGAAAATCGTGATCACGGCAATGACAATGGCATGAACTTTGCTGTACATACGAGGTGCGATCGGAAAGTTTCAAGACTGTGTCAATAGAGGGCGAACCGGATGTAGTACGAGCTTCTGCCGCTAGGGGGTGCGGCCTACATTCATAGTGAATCAGTGTGCCAGCCGGCATCATCGAATTAGCATTTGTTTCTTAGTTACGGGCGTTTTGGTAGGTCATTACACCGACCCTCCTGCGATTTCGGAATGGCGTGTGCATCAAATTTTGCCAAAGACTCGCCAAAACGGCTACAGAAACCTATGAAATGCTAAAGCAAGCATTTGGGGAAATACTTCGAAATGGGTCGTGCACAAACTTTTGTGAGGCATTC